AACTAACATCAGATTCGAGTTCCTCGACCCTGATTACCCTTCGGTCAACCCTTATAAAAAAATTTTTTTCGTAAAAAAAGTGATCCTTTGTGTAAAAAGAAATCGATCCGAAAAAAATTTCAAAAAACTAACATCAGATTCGAGTTCCTCGACCCTGATTACCCTTCGGTCAACCCTTATAAAAAATTTTTTTTTTGTAAAAAAAGTGATCTTTTGTGTAAAAAAAATCGATCCGAAAAAAATTTCAAAAAACTAACATCAGATTCGAGTTCCTCGACCCCGATTACCCTCCGATCATCCCTTATAAAAACGATGATGTGAGAGGTCAAAAAAACATTTTTTCGTTCTGTGCGAACGAACGAACGGACGGACGGACGGAGTCACGAACATACGAACCTTGCTCGGTGTATGACCCTCCTTTCAGTAGAGGGAACAATCAAAATATCAAGCATATTAGCTGATATTAGTTTGAGGGCAAATGCATAGCAAGCGAAAATGAAACTTGCGGTTAACATATACCAAAGTTCAAAATGCTCATGTTATCGACGACATACGGTTTTCAAAAACGATGTTGAAACTTTTTCATTATTTTGATTTTTCTCAATGAGATCAGAGAAAATAGCGTAAAGTAGTACCTGTTATTGTTGTTTCTCATTTTATACTGTCATGAATGTATTTTTTTATTAGTAGAACTTCAAGAACAAATAGGATACATACCATGTCTATACATAATTCGTCTTATGAAATTGTGCTTTAGAATGACGATGGCATAAAACTCTTTATACCCAATCAACTAAATCAATAAAAAACTCGTAAAAACGAACCCAAAATAAACGCGTTTCAATTCGTTAAAACCCGCACATTTAAACGTGATAGTAACGCTATATAAAATTAAACAGAGTTTTTACGGTATCAGATACTTTAACGCATTAAAACATGAAGTTTTCACGATTTTTTTTTGTTTCATGTCAAAACTCCAAAAGAGCCAACTCATGAGCTAATATGAATTGAAGGTCTTTTGAGAATCACTGTGTGACAGTAAAAGATGAAACATTTTCTTTATGAGACTAAGATAATTGCAGTGTTTTTCCACTGAAACTATATTTTTTGACATGGGTTGTTTCTTTCAATAGTGAGTGTTCTTTTTTGACACCTTTTGGCACATGTCGATTAATATATGCAAAAGATTTTCGAAACAGAACACTCACTATTGAAAAGCATAACCTATGTCCAAAAATATAGTTTCAGTGAAAAAGCACTGCAATTATCTCAGTCTCATAACGAAAATGTTTCATTTCGTACTGTCACACAGTAGTTTTCAGATGACCTTCAATTCGTACTAACCCATGAGTTGACCAATTCAAAGCTCTGTTTTATAGCTAAACGTGTTGTTAAACATTCGATAAGGTAGTTAAATATGCTCTATAGACAAAATACGCAAGGTAATGCATCATGATTATTTGAAATTTATGTGTGATTACTCGAGGGTACTATTATCTGAACATCTTTATACCTATGCTATTACTCTTGAAGTCTTATATCTTTGTCTTTATCTGCATACTATTATATCTACATATATCCTTATCCCTATACTTTCATATTTAGGATGCTTTTATGTTCATATTCTTATATCTGTAATCTTGTTCCTATAGATATATCTATCTAGTCTTATAATTTCATATTCTTAACTGTTGAAGCCTTATATCTATGTGCTTATCCATATATTCTTATATCTATCGACTCATATCTATGCTATAATGCTTGTGTGCTTTCTTGGATCCTTATTTCTGTGCACTTAGTTGCGTATTATTATACTCGCATTCTTACATTAATAATTTATGCTAGTACATCAACCCGATATTATTATGTCTATGTATCTGCACCATTAAATTTATAGATCTATACTTGATCAGATAAATTTTGTAAGCGTTTTGTTTTTCATAATCATCTGATTTATGTTAAACTAGCTAGCTTAGTATTTTGGATTTGGAGAAACAAGCAAATGCGTAACCATTTTCTCTAAATGAGCACCATCTATCAATTATTTTAAAGATTGTATTAAAAAAGCTTGCTTACCTAAAGAATTTTTGAATTAAAAAGCGAAAAAAAGCAACTTTTGGTAAAAACTTGTATAAAAAAAATTATATTCCGTATTTTTTTGTTTCAGTTCGCCTGAAATTTATTACGAAATGATGAGTTCATGCATTTTCAAAGAACGTATAAGAAAAAAAGAAATATAAATTTTCATGACATCTCAGTTTGATTATTTGGAAAAATCAGAGATAGCACAATATATAAGGAGAAAGAGAATGGAGACAATAAAAATCAAAAGCATGATTGTTACCCTTATTACTACAGGTAAATTATCTGTGAAGAAAATGCAAACAACTGGGATTGATAAAATACATATTTACTGAATGAATCTTGTATTTACGTCAGCTACTACAGAGGAAAGAACTAGAAATGCTTGTTGAACTATATCACATAACCGATAGTTTATAACACGAGAGTTTAATATTGTGCAAGTAACAAAAATAACATGACTAATTAATTTTATAAGAGCTACATTTTATGAAATAAGGAGGCTATAATGAACTAATAATTAATCGGCTAAATCAAAACCCAAGGAGCGAAAAATATTTCAAGTTATTTATAAGAAATAACAGCATGAAAGTCTATTTAGTCTTGCGAACACGTTTTAATCTGTAAGTTTAGTGGCAATAACAACAAAAAAAACGCGTAAATTTCGAAAAAATTACCCATTTTAATGCATTGGAATATGGTAACGCGTTTTAACTTTTTTAAAACTCACATAATAACAGCGTTTTAATGATAATATTTTGTTTGAACGCTGTTATTACAGAATCTTAACTCGTTTACACGCGTTATTTTTTAACGTTTGTCTGCCTGGGTAGACTGGTATACTATAAAAACTATAGTATATTATTTATAGACAGAAGCAAAGTAAAACGCATTATATATCTGTCATTTTAAAACAAAAAAACAAAGAATCATGCATTAATGCTCCTTTCAAATACATAACATGTCGAGAATACACAATCCATTTGTCATCTATATCAATGTCTCTTTCTCATTGACCACATAGCGTACACGAAGGATATTAGTGTAAGGTTTCTTAAAAACTTTTCGGTTTTGTGGAGGTAACTTAAATGAAGAAAAAAAAATTTTAATAAGACTTACTATTGGCAGATTTAAAACTATATTTGACGAGAAAAAAAAAGACATTTTTCTTACTCTGGTTACTGGTAATATTATTATCTTCAGTAGTAAACAATAGCAATTAAAGAATCAGCAAAGACGGAAAAATTAATTTTTTTATTATAAAATGTTCTCTATATAGAATTTTAGTTCTTTAAAATATTCATAATTATTTAACGACAAAGACTAATAAAGAATTAATGTAGAGTAGATAATTATCTCATTAATTTTCAAGTTTCCCAATCGCTAATACAAAGATTATCTATGCAGTCATCAAAATCTTCGGTTAATATGATTTCTAATACTTTAGATTGTCTTGAATCGATGTATATCATTACATTGTGGTAACTTAATTTGAATGCGAAGGGATGTCAAAAAACAACTGGAACTCAATTTATTATTGCTCATAAATAAAAATACTTTTGATGTATAGTGTAATATGAAAACAACCTGTACCTACGTGTCAGTTACTTCTATATCAATCTTTAATTTTCGTGTATATCTTCTGGAAGAAAAGATCAATAGTTCAACTTGCTTCTTTTCAACAAAAACCATCTAAACGTTACATGTGTACTGAACTTTTACAGGCATTATAAAAGTCATTCAGACGCAGGACTTTACTTTGTAGATATGCTATTGGTGCATGTTGTACCCATTATATCTTATAATGAACTTCTTTTTTTTCTTTAAATAGACGGGTTTTATTTTTATTTGCTCAAAAAAGAAAACAAAAGGCATTAAGGTAATTTTGTATTATTATTGTTGTTTATGCAACTTGTACGACGTAAGAGGCAATTCCACAAGTATTTTGTCCACGTAGGATACGTATATAACCTTTTTCACCCCAATTAACGCCTATGAAAAAAGGTAGTCGACAAATCAACCTATATTCAATTTAAACTTACCCCAACTGTTTTTGCATATCCAGAAAAGGTCTCCTGAAGCTGTTTTACCGTAACCAACAAGTTGTAACTATTTGTAATTAAGAAATTTAAAATTTGTAGAATTTCACACTTAAATTGTTATTTATAGTACTTACCACATGATCAATCACTGTTTTAGAGCAAGATTGATCGTTATAAATACCTAAAAGAGAAAGAACAATAGAAATGAATCTAATAAAATCAATGAACATGTCTCTGACCGCTCTGATAAACTTGAAAGGAAGTTTGACTTGCGTCGACACCAACAAACAATGTTGAGCTTTGGATCCATGTTACCATAGTATTTTCGTCTCGATTTTTAAGTCGCATGATTTTATCGAACTAAAGTTCAACAATAGTAAAATTCGAATGATGGACAGTTTGTTTTAATAAACAAGAAAATCGTTTTTCGAAACTTAAACTATATTCAGTCACACATGTGAAAGTCTTTTAAGATTTGTTGTTCCTAAAAATGAATCGTTTTTTGTACCAAAGGGTGAAATATTATTTGTATTTATAGAATCAGAAATTCATTGTTATCTCTCACGTCAGTGAGCTAATATATGGCACAATGACGCTATGCTTCAATAAGTATATAGATATACACATACATGAGCAAATGGTGTACATTGATTTGGTATGCATTGACCAGTAGGTGTCGGATAATCAGCAGCACGACATATGCCACCCAGTTTCTTGATGCATTGAAAAGGATCAACTGGTTGTGGACAACAGTCAGCGACACGAGCAACACTACCTTCTACGAGTTGTCCTGTTTGAATAGCATGCAAGCTTTCAATAACTTCTGCAATAGTTATTTTTCTATGACATAACTTTGACTATTAAGATCTTATAAACGCTCACCTACAGTAACGATGGCTTCAACGTCTGCGAGAACACCTTGGTTTTGCACTGGCGAAATGACACCTTTCGTACGCCAATCGAATGAATCAGGTACATCGGATGATTCAAGAGAATTTCCCATATTTCCAGAATCGAGTTTAATATAGTGTTTTGAAGATGAGACAAGTTCCTAAAACAATCGATTTTATTTAACGATATATATATCATCAAAGCATTCGATTTACTTCGATGCGTCGATCAGCCAAATGATTGATACCAATTGTGAATGTTGCATTTGGATGAAGTCGTTTAAAGGTACGAATTCGATTTACATTTTCGAGAAATATCTGCTTACGTTCAGCTTCCTCAGCAGCTGATTTATAATGCTTGTTATAATCACGTTTAAACTTAAGCCAATCGATGGAGGAACTACTAGAAACTACATGGAGCACGACAAAAAAAATGAATAGCTAAATGCACAAAAAACAATACGTTTTGTTCATCACATTCTTAAAATTACAAACATCATGAAAGACTTACTTTGATATGCATCTTTTTTTTTTGTTGTATACGACAACAGGTGTTAATAGTGATATATATATATATATATAAAAGGATATATTTATAGATATCGTGTTAAACAAATATTCGATAAGAGAATAGATTACAGCGAAAGAAATGCTGAGACATGATTAGATTGCATCGTTTTAATGATGTTAACTGTTTTCTTATCTCCAAGTTCACTAGATTTCATGATGATGAGAAAAGCCCTCTGATGCAGGCAATACGAATTACCTAATAAAGTGATTTGTACATTTCGTGTCAATGGTTATTGTCTATAAGAGAATGTTATTAAATCATGAACAGCATTAAAAATTTAAGTTATGAAGAGAAGTTTTTCAGCTTGGCCTTATTCGATACTCTTCATCTAAGTTTGATTCTTTTTCTCTGAATATTTTTTTTTACAGATTTATTTTCAGCAAAGAGTGAGAATATTCTAAAAATACATGTCTTATATAGTATGAATATTTACTTCTTGTTAAACAAATAAAAAAATGAGATCATATTATTCAATATACACTATCTTCATACTAAAAGCTACTTGGAATTTCCACTTTTGCCAGATAATATTTAAATATTTTGCTGAGTACCAATGGATTTTCTATATATGGGAACATAAAAATAATTTCACGAATTCATTGTAATAGAGTCAATCTGTTATATATAGTCAATCTACCGATTACTTTCTTTCTCATCAGTGTTCATTCTATGTTTCCTCTTTGCGTCATCATTGGTTTGTTGTATTCGAATCTGTTGCAAATAAGAATTGTCAACTGAAGAAGGATTGATTGCTACAAGAAAAACTAAACAAGATTTTGTTTGACCAAGAAATACATATTTGTATTAGAACAGCATAAACTTTATCAAGTGAACTAACAATCATCATTAATTGAACACTTTCTCGCTTAAATTATTATATTAACAATATATTTGATAACAATTGACAACAACGAATAATGATTCAACTTTATGTATATATTTCCATGGATATAAATTCGGTTGCCAAAATCAACGAATAATACCATGAACCATACAAGTTATAAAGAAGCACTTAAAATATGACAATTCATAACAAAATATGGTATTTTCGTATTGAGTAATTGCTTTTGTCAAAGCTGATAGAGACACTAAATCAATAATAAAATAATAATAATAAGGTAAACTAAGTACAATAGCAACTATGATCATTATTGAACTTAATTTGTATTGTTGGATATTATTGTTGTTGATTGCATATGCGACGTAAAGTTGTGAGAAAAACTGTTGACGGCGTAGTAAGTATATATTCAACAATACAAATAATTAGTGAATAAATATTCACAATTTTTAGATGATTTATTGAAATTCGATAATTTGATAGAATACACTGCATCTATATAAGTTAAATTTGTATCACACTTGACATAAATATGTTGAATATAGAAGTAACGAGTTGTTCATTTGCATCAAATACATTCAAATTTTTATAAAAGATAGTAAATACACCAAAAACAATAGATAGACTTTAAAGAAATCGAACAATCATAGTATCAAATATATCAGCTAGCATTACTTTGAGAGCAAACGCACAACAAAGCGATAATGAAGTTTTCGGTTAACATATACTAAATTCCAGAATGTTCATTCGAGCAATAATATATGGTTTACATAAACAATGATGAAACTTTTTTTCTTACTTTGCTTTTCCTCAGTGATATTCACAGAAAAAAGAATAAAATGGTAGCTGTTGTTGCTCGTCACACAGATAGATGAGTCCGAGTCATTCATTCATAAAAGTAAAAGTTGATAATTTAGCGCCAAAATCAGTTTAACAAGAAACTGATGGTTTTTGGACAGGAAGAAAATTTAACTAGTGATCTATTTTTCAGAAAAAACGAGATTCATGTCAATCTCCTAATAGGTTTGCTAGTTAAGTTCTGTGTGTTCCTGCTGCATCAGTATCAATTGAACGTATATTTTCTTCAAACAATCTCTGAATAAGATCTCACCGTTCACATTTTTCACAAACAAACATTTGCATTTAAACATCTTCAACGTTCAAATAATATAGTAATTGTAGCGTTACTAAATATTTTGTGCTTATAAGCGACTTTATGTTTAGGTTTTTCTTCATAAAAACTGATGTTTTACTATCTTGTGGAACAGTATGACAGAGAAAAGTTGATCTTGCTGTCTTTACTTTGTTGATAACGCTACGGTAGTTGTGTCACTTCGCTTTATGTAGGACTGTTCTTAATTTGTTTTTACGCATCAAAACTAGAAACAAAATATCGTGACATGAAAAACTTGTTGTTAACGTTCTTTATTAAAAAAAAATAAATAGAAAACGAAAAAAAACAGCAGAAATAACTTGACTTGAAGACAAGATAGGACCCATGCTAGGGCTATAGATAATTCGTTACATACAATTTCACTTCAGAATAACAATGACGTAACTCTAGCTTTAGTTTCGTATACTATAAAAACTATCATGTTTTATTCATAGATATGACGGGAAAAGGGTGCATTGCATATCCACCAATTTAAAAGCGAAAAGAAAAATAATGTTCCATTAAGACTCCATTCACGTGCAAAACACGAGTGCAATATAGAATGCACTCGTCATCTATGTATATAATGTTCAGTTTGTATGTGGGTGTGTCTGTGCCAGGGCAAAGATTAAAGGTATAGATTCAAAGGTCAGGTGTGGTAGAGTGTAGAGTGCCCTGCAATGAGAGTGATTAGATGGGACTGATGCAGGATATATTGCAGTGAGAGTGGGTGAATGAGGGCTGGTGTAGAGTAAAGATGTTCAGTGTGGAGATGAGCGGGGCGATATTACAGTAAAGAGATGAATAGGTGTGATGCGAGGGTGAGGAAGGTGTGGTATGAAGGTGTGGGGTTATGAGTGAGTGTAGTTGAGTGAGAGTGGATGTGCGTATGATTTCGCGAGCAAGTGAGTAAGATTACGGTTGTATTGAAGATCATAAAGCAGCAACCACACCATACCGACATCCAATATACTTATTACAAACCTATAACCATCCACATGCACTTACATAAATAACTTGTATAGAAATAGTGGAGATAAGAACTCTAACCACATCTTTCTCAATTTCCTTACCATCGAGAAAAATTTGGTTTTGTGATGAAAACAAACGAGCGTGCAGTTTGTAGGTGTTCTCGCTAGTATACAATATGGTCTGTTTCTCACTAAATACAGATGTGTGCATAGGTTTTATGATGTAAGCGTCTGTCTTAAATATTTTCGTCTTAAGAGAATACTGGAAATTGAGAAAAAGAAACTATTTAGTGAGATATTGTATTAAAAAAATAAGTAAAGGTGGAAAAGATGATTCTTTTATAATCGAACGTTTTTCATATAGAACTTTCTTTCTTTAAAACTTCCACTATTAGTTAACCACAAATGAAAATATTGAATGAAATTCGTGAAAATAATGATTGATTGGGTTCTGAAGTTTTGTAATGGCTAATACAAAAGTAATCTCTTTAATGATTAAAACCTTCTATTCATACGATTTCCTGTGCTTTAAAATTTTTTTTAATCGAAGTGTATCATTAAACTACGGTGGCTTAAATTCGATGTAAATCAAGGTAAAAAACTAATAGGGCTCAATTGTTTAGTGCAACATGAAAACAAGCTGTATTCACACAATATTTCTTAAGTAGACAAGACTTTCTGACAACTCTGAAAAAAGTAACTTTTGCATCTTCAAAATGTCTAAAAGTTTTTCTTAAAATATTTTTGATATATATCACGCACAAAAAGCTCATTTTTATGTGCAAAATGTGTCAAAATATTTCTGGGACAAATTTTGGATATTGTGGCGATTTAGAGATTGGCTTTCTAAGTATTTTCTCAATATATGTGAAAATGTTGAAACAAAAACTGCGATTAGAACATTTTAATGCATTTATGGAAATTTCTGTCGATATCAATCTTTAATTTCCATGGGTATTTTCTGAAATGGCAGATTGCCTGTTAACCATAGTCGTTCATAACAAAATTTATGTAAATATCGAATAAATTAACCCTAACAAACATTTTAGAATTCAGTCAGCTGTAAAGACCTTCTTTCTAGGTATACGATTTGTCCATGATACACATGCTATATATATTCATGAGCATTTGGTTTTTGTGAAAAATCACATATATTTTAGAAGAAAATAGCGATTGTCAGTTTAAATCAAGATTTTGCGGCTCCTTGTCTCCTTCAGGCCTCGAAAACAGGAGGTGGAAGAAGAAAGACCAAAAATTAGATAGTATACGAGCGATCTTTAACAAAAACAAACTAAAGATTGTGAATTCAGGTTTGTTTTCTTCGATTATGACATGTTCTCTTTTTTTTCACCCGCTTGAAGAAACGCATACGAATCAATGTAAAATATAAAACGTTTCAGTTGAAACAATAGTTGAAATTGAAAGATTTGCTTTATTATAAGTAATTGTTTATAATTGAAGATCTAATATTAAAGTTACGAAATCAAACACTATAAGATACACATGTACTATTTATCAGACAATAATACGAGTCTAATTAAAAGACTACTTTAAATTTTATATTAAATGTTATACTATATATATATGATCATTGTTTTGTATTTTCATTATTAATCTGCCTCATATTAACACTTGTAATATGAATTAGTTGTTCAATAACAATATCAAGGCTGAAATTATTTTTACAGTCTACTGAACAATATGATTTTTGATCATCATCAACAATAAAATTGAATTCTTCTCCACACCAGTTACATGTTGTATATAACGTTATTTGAAGCATGCGTAAAAACAATTTTAATTTTTGATTAATGAAGAATATAAAAATATGTACTTGTACAATATATGTTTTATAAATTATCAAAAAATAAACAAACGAAGCAAAAATCAATACAGGCACCACTAACTCATATGTTAAACTAATCAGAGGCTTTTTACTGATCTTCAGGATATAACATGATCTTGAAGCAAAATCTAGCAATTATTTCAAAGATCTACCATAAAACTATGTAATATAATACGAAGACACATTTTGAAGTGTATGTCTTGCACAGAATATTTCAACCGAAAGTCAACTATGCAGACTCTTACTAAACATGTTCCTTTATATAAAACAACAATCTTCTCAGAAAATTTTTTAACCTATTTTAAAAATTTAATTTCTTTTTTTCTCTAAACTTGAATATAGTGACTTATCATTAAGTCGTTTTATGTAGACAATGTCAGTAAATTAAATATTTACTTATATAAATACAACTGTTCGAAAAAAAACTAAATATTCATCCTGACATAGGCGGCAGACATTCGTTCCAAAAATAAGTATTTGTTTAATAAAATATTACTCACTCAGCAAACAGATACTATGCTAAATAATCATGTCCATTTTTTACGTGAATTGATACGTTTCTTAATTATCAACGAAATCAATTTTTAATATCAAATACTGAAAGAGCGTATTTAAATCATGGTGAATCATACCTAAAAAACGTTTCTAATATATATCTAATATCTATCACTTGACTATGAAAAAACAAAGTATACTACAAAACAGAGTTTGCGATTTTCGTATTTTACCATCAGAAGGGGCTACACTGAAAAGTTTTGCTGTATATGGATATGTTCTCTTTTATTTGGCCGAAAAAAACGACAAAAAACGTAAAAAGATTATTTTATATTATGATCATTGTTTATGCAACTTGTACGACGTAAGAAGCAATGCCACAGGTGTTTTGCCCACGCAAGATACGTATGTATCCTTTTTCACCCCAACCGACACCTATAGAGAAAGCTACTCATTAAATCAATCTATATTCAATGCAAACTTACCCCAACTATTTTTGCATATCCAAAATAGGTCTCCCGAAGCTGTTTTTCCGTAACCAACAAGTTGTAGCTACTCACAAATAAGAAATCAAAAGTTTTACAATATTGTTCTAATAAATTTATCTAAAATATATATACCGCATGATCGATCACTGTTTTTGAGCACGATTGATCGTTGTAAATGCCTAAAAGATAACAGAACAATAACGATCAATGTTACAAAATCAATAAGCATGTCTTACCACTTTGATAAAGCTGAAAGGAAGCTCGGCTTGCATCGATACCAACATACAATGTAGAGTTTTGAATCCATGCTACCATAGTATTTTCATCTCGATTTTTAAGTCGCATGATTTTATCAAACTATAACCAAACAAAAGTGAAACTCGAACGATGGACAGATTATTTGATAAACAACGCAATCGAACTCAGAAACTTAAAATGTTTTGAATCAAAGATGCAATAACCTTTTAAGATTTATTGCACCAAAAATGAATAAACCTTCATAGCAAGCCATGAGAGATTTTTTTATTTGAAGAATCAAAAATTCATCGAAATGTCTTAGTGAGATGAAATATAGAACGATGAAATTATGTTCCAATAAATATATGAATGTACCTACATAAGCAAATGGTGTACATTGATTTGGTATGCATTGACCAGTAGGTGTTGGATAATCACCAGCGCTACATATGCCACCTAGTTTCATGATGCATTGAAATGGATCAACTGGTTGTGGACAACAGTCGACGACACGAGCAATACTTCCTTCTACCAGTTGTCCCGTTTGAATAACATGCAAGCTTTCAATAACTTCTGCAATAGTTATTTTTCTATGAAACGACTTTGACTATTAAGATCTTATAAATACTCACCTACAGCAGCGAAGGCTTCTGCATCTCCAACTACACCTTGATCTTTCACTGGTGAGATGACGCCTTTTGTACGCCAATCGAATGAGTCAGGTAAATAGAATGATTCAAGAGAATTTTTCATATTTCCAGAATGGAGTTCAATATAGTGTTTTGAAGGTGAGACAAGTTCCTAAAACAATCGATTTTATTTAACGATATATATATCATGAAAGCATTCGATTTACTTCGATGCGTCGATCAGCCAAATGATTGATACCAATTGTGAATGTTGCATTTGGATGAAGTCGTTTAAAGGTACGAATTTGATTTACATTTTCGAGAAATATTTGCTTACGTTCAACTTCCTCAGCAGCTGATTTATAATGCTTATTATAATCACGTTTAAACTTATGCCAATCGATTGACGAACTACCGGAAACCACAACCAGTAAGACAGAAAAAATAATTAACTAAATATACAAGAAAAGACATGTTTTGATTATCACATTCTTAAAATTACAAACATCATGAAAGGCCTACTTTAATATGCATCTTTCTTTTGCTGTATATGACAACAGGTGTTTAAAGTGGCATATATATATATATATATATATACATATATCGCGTTAAACAAATATTCGATAAGAGAATAGATTACAGCGAAAGAAATGCTGAAACATGATTAGGTTGCAGCATTGCAATAATTTTAACTCTTTTCTTACGTCAGAGTAGACTACATCCGATGACAATGACGAATGCTTTGTGATGCAGATAATATGAATTATATGATAATATTATTTGTGAATTTTGTATAGATGGTTATTCTGCATATGAAAGTGTTATTGAAGGACGAACAGCATTGAACATTTGAGTTATGAAGAGAAGTTTTTGAGCATGTTTTGATTATATTTTAAACAATTGATCTTATTCGGTATTGTTAATACAAGTTGAATCCTTTTTTTCTCTTCATATGGTTGTAAATATTTATTCTTAGGAAATAGGGTAAGTATTCTAAAGATGGATATCTTACAAAGTACACATGTATTTTTTCTTAGTCTAAATAAAAAATGAGATCGTTCGTACTGTTCAATATTTACAATCTTCATACAATAGTTAATTTGAAATTTCGTCACTAGTATGCAATTAGACAAGAATTTTTGAAAACTCATTCGAACACTCTAATCGTAGTTTTCGTTTGATCGTATTCACGTTCATTGAAAGAAAACCAAAACCAGTTACTTTCGTCATGAAACATTGTGTGAGAACACTAAAAAACAAGTTTTACATTGTCACAATGTCGAATAAGTTGTCTTGCAATACTTTCGATGTACGTCATGCATAAAAACTTTATTTCTTATCTGCATAACCTGTCTAAATATTGAAGAACACTTTTTTTGGACGTTTAATCGATGCAGATGTTGCCTTTGTGAGCATCTTCAGGCAAAGCTCATGATGAAAGTAACTAGATTTTGTGTTTTTTGAATAGACTTGATAACGCTCAAACGCAGCTGCGATTATAGCGCTTAAATGCATGTTCAGAAATTCTTGCCTGCTTGGTTTATGTAAATATCAATCTTTAACTTTTGTAAGTATCTTCTACAATGAAAGATCTAGTATTTACTTGAATCCTGTACAACGAAAATTATCTAAATCGCGAATATACTAAACGTTACAAGTCGTACAGAATTGAGACATGTTAAGATTTGCTATCTAGATATACCAATTGCTTATATTTTACATATTACGTTTAATGATGAAATTTTTGTTATTTTTTCACTCTAAATATGTTTCTTTTTTATTAGTCTGCAAAAAGAATCAAAAGTAAAGCAGGTCATTTTGTATTATAATTATAGTTTATGCAACTTGTACAACGTAAGAGGCGATGCCACAAGTATTGTGTCCACGTAAGATACGTATATATCCTTGCTCACCCCAACTGACACCTATGAGCAAAAGTAACCGATAAATCAACGTATATTCAATGCATATATAATGTTCCATAAGTCGTGAGATGTGACAAAATTAGATTATATGCAGACAGAAAATAATGCTCAACTGCATTTTTTTAATATGAATCTTGAATACTCGTGTCAATTTTTTTGAAATGGCATAACTAGATAATATATTCTGTTGTAATAATAAAAATATAAATACGAGAATGTGAGGATAAATTTCTCGCATTAGATTAGCGTGATTGTTTTTAAAGATTCTTTTTAAAACAAAGTGTTGAATGATTCTACGTTGCACATGCCATAATAAAAACTAATAATTATTAATCTTATTTGTTTAGTCAGCTTATATCATGATCCACTATTTACTTGTTCAGCCAAGTTCTGTAATCAGTCAACGAATTATAATGAGTAAAATATATGAAACTATCGCGTCCAGCACGAAAAATAAAATCTATCGATGAATTATTTAATAATCGACTTTTACCTTCAAATGTTAACAATAAATATTCTGACACGTTGTTCATTGAAAGTATATGGAGAAAATTAAAGAAAAAACTAGGACAAAAACAATTTACAAGCTGTTCACAATTAAAAGCTATATTTAAAAGAAAACAATGCAAACAAAAACTTGTAATGATTAATAAAATTTTTAACTGACTTGGCGAATTAATAAAATAGGATGAACAACAAACACATGATAGTTCAATGAGGCTTTTTATGTAATCATATTCGCATCTGTATTTACAAACTAGTGTTTTTCGTTTGTTTCTAATAAAATACCTTATTGATCGATTGCAAAAAAGAATTTATACTCACATTCTCATATTTACACTTTAATTATTACAAGAGAAGAGATTATCGAATATACAAGTCATTTGAAAGATTGATACGAACACTAAAGACTGATATAAAAACATTCCGTTAAGAATTATTTTCTGGCTGCATATAAACTGATGTTGTCGAGCTTCAAACTTGTGAAACACTCTGTACTTACCCCAACTATTTTTGCATATCCAAAAGAGATCTCCCGACGCTGTTTTCCCATAACCAACAAGTTGCAGCTACTCATAAATGAGAAATCAAAAGTTTTACAATATCAAACTAATTAAGCTATCTAAAATATATACCATATGATCGATCACTATTTGAGAACAGGACTGGTCCTTATAAATACCTAACAGATGGTAGAATAATAGTCATCAATGTAATAAAATCAATGAACATGTCTCACCGCTCAGATAAAACTGAAATGAAGGTTGGCTTGCGTCGACACCAACAAATAATGTAGAATTTTGAATCCATGTTACCATAGTATTTTCGTCACGGTTTTTAAGCCGCATGATTTTATCAAACTATAACCAAACAAAAGTAAAACTCAAATAACATAGTATCGTGTTTTTTTAAATAAGTATATTGTTTTTGAAACTTGAAATATATTCAAGGAAAAGGTCTGAAAGTCTCGTAAGATTTGTGACACAAAAATGAATGAATCTTGATAGCAAGCCACGAAAGATATTTTTATTCGAAGAATCAAAAATTCATTGAACCGCCTCAGTGAGATGAAATATGGAACGATGAAACTATGTTTCAATAAATATATGAAAGTACCTACATGAGCAAATGGTGTACATTGATTTGGTATGCATTGACCAGTAGGTGTCGGATAATCACCAGCGCTACATATGCCACCTAGTTTCATGATGCATTGAAATGGATCAACTGGTTGTGGACAACAGTCGACGACACGAGCAACACTTCCTTCTATCAGTTTTCCCGTTTGAATAGCATGCAAGCTTTCAATAACTTCTGCAACAGTTATTTTTCTATGAAACGACTTTGACTATTAAGATCTTATAAACACTCACCTACAGCAGCGAAGGCTTCTGCATCTCCAACTATACCTTGATCTTTTACTGGGGAGATGACGCCTTTTGTACGCCAATCGAATGAATCAGGTACATCGAATGATTCAAGAGAATTTTCCATATTTCCAGAATGGAGTTTAATATAGTGTTTTGAAGATGAGACAAGTTCCTAAAACAATCGATTTTATTTAACGATTAATATATATATATATCATCAAAGCATTCGATTTACTTCAATGCGTCGATCAGCCAAATGATTGATACCAATTGTGAATGTTGCATTTGGATGAAGTCGTTTAAAGGTACGAATTTGATTTACATTTTCGAGAAATATTTGCTTACGTTCAACTTCCTCAGCAGCTGATTTATAATGTTTATTATAATCACGTTTAAACTTAAGCCAATCGATTGACGAACTACCGGAAACCACAACCAGCAAGACAGAAAAAATAATTAACTAAATATACAAAAAAAAGACACGCTTTATTTATCAAATCCTTAAAATTGCAAACATCATGAAAGAGTTACTTTGATATGCATCTTTGTTTTGCTGTATATGACAACAGGTGTTTTACGTAGCGTATATATATATATATATCTGCTTCTAAACAAATATTCGATAAGAGAATAGATTACAGCGAAATAACTAGTAAAACATGCTTAAATTGCATCATTTTAATAATAGAACTCTTTTCTTTTGTCAACTCTCACTAAATGCAATAGTGATGGTAAAAGTCGACTATTATCCTCCATAAGAAAGTGTTATTGAAGAACGAACAGCATTGAACATTTGAGTTATGAAGATAAATTTTTCAGCGTCTTTTGATTATATTTTAAACAATAGATTTTATTCGATATTGTTTCTTACAGATATAATATACAGTATGGTGTGCTTCCTAACAGTAGACTCAATAGCTCGATATCTTCTCTAGAGTCACAAGAGCTGATGTATGTCACAATGTAATCAGCATACTATCGCAGATGAGTGATTCGAGACAAATAGGTATTAGTAAATTATTCAGGATCAGTTCATGGGTGACGATATCGAGGTTTGCACAAAGTACCTTGTGAGTACGTGTCGAACAACGTAGCCACTTCTTCATGATGGTGTGAAAAAAATTGAGTATGATATTGGTTAATGAAATATTTGATGTGATTGCGATTGAAAAGAATATACAAGTGTATATATTAGAATACAAGCATAGTCGTGATTTTTTCAATATGATAAAATGAATGTCTCTGAGTATTGAGCCGCTACTAGTTAAGATAAAATTAATATGGTATATTCTTTACCGACTTTAAAAAGACAACAAAAAATGAATATCTTCATCATTCGTGTGACTTTCTAGAGATCATTTGTGAAATAACTTGAATAGGTCTTTAAAACCTTATTTTTCAGTGGCAAATTCCACAGATATTGGTTTCTTTTACAAACTATCCGTGATTGGTGAACAACAGCGAAATGTACACCTTGTTTCAGAAGAAATTACTGAGATTCTTTTCTTTTCAAGGTAACATAGAAGAAAATGATCGTTCTTTAACCAAAACATTGACCAGTTTTTATAATCGTTCGATAGGAATCAGAATATTACATATGTATTTAAAAATTGCGAAATTTAAGCAATCTCATTGATTTGTTTTGATGCAATAGAAATAAGAAGGGCTCTGGAATTCCTTTTATTGACGGATGCTTAAGGATTGCGATGAATTTCGATGACAAATATGTCAAGTCAATGATGCACACAACAGACACTTCCTTAAACAACTAACATTACTATTATATAAGAAAGAAAATAGAATATAAACTTGTCAATATAAAATTGCAACGTAGAAAAACTTATACATTTCTATTAATATCTCTATTGACTTTTGGCAAAAGCTAAACATCTATAGTAGAATATGAAATTCAAGAAGGTAAAATAGTTTGATAAATACCAATAAATTCTCTGTGCCTATGTACTAGAATCCATGTTTTTGGAATCATCAGAGCTTTAATCAATTTATATTATTTTTCTCTATTGTGTGATTATTGTAACAGTTTTCATTTTATCCAACAGTGACACGATATTTTTAGATATGATTGATCTGAATATTATCATCTTACAAAATATGACTAGCGTTTTTTCTACTTAATATGTCTTCGTTAATTTCATCATTAGCTACGAAGCGTCAATTTTTTAGTGATAAGTATTGACTGCAAAATTTTCATCCTCATTATTTTAATTATGTTAAAATCATGAACAGTATAATGAAATTGCTTATGACGATCGCAGTATTCATGAAATGTGTTTTACTATACTTTTTCATCAACAAATTAAGAACAATATTTGTATAAGCTATTACTACGATTGTGTATTTGTAATTATAAATTGAAAGTTTTCATACATATAAATGGTGTACGATAGTCGACTCTTAAGAAACGAGAATTTCCTACGCAATATGCTTATTCTCTAATGAAGCAATTTAGATTTTTTGTTATTAATAACAAAAGAAAATTAGTTATATTAAATATTTTTATATATTTGTCACAAACATATATTCCATATTCTCATAAAACACAACAATGTTGAACAAATGGAATCTTGAAAATTTGAAAAGATCGCTTCTTAAAGTGATGAATCTGCAGCCTAATGATGTTATCTAAACAGTTTCATGTCTAAGAGTCTACGTCATACAGCACCAATGGTGTAATCCAACAGACATCTACAATTTGACTTTAGTATGTTCATAATAGGATCCTTTTTTTAATGGATAATTTTTTTTTCTCATGACAAATACAGACCTTGAGTGAGCTTCAAAGTAATTTTCTATCTTTATAGAAAACAGCAAAGTCTATTACGACATGTCTTGTTCAATAAAGTGACATGACATGTTAGAATCGCACGTTTTCCATTCTTTTGATATTATATAATGTATAAATTAAATATAAGACATTATAATATAGAATCACAATAGAACCAAAGACAACAAAAAACAATGTCAATAGTTTTAAGTCAAGAAATAATTTAACATAGATAGTTTTTTTGTTGATAACTATCTTGTATTCAGTGTTGCTTGTCGCTGCTAGACATATTATTTGCATTGTTTGACAAAGTATCTAACTTCGTTGCAGATGTCAAATAACTTGTTCCTAAAATTAAATAAGTAAATTTGTCAAATATGGCAAAAAAGAAAAAAAATTCATAACATTGATTCACAACAAAATGCCATGAGTTATCACAATACTCAAATGTTTTGTATTTGAACCTTGAATAAGTGACACAGGTAGAATATTTCGAATAATACGTCTCAAAATCATATGCAAACAATGATCGCATTTTTCTTCGGAGACTAAACACTCAATCAGTAATGAAATTCATTCAAGTCTATAATATTTCAATTGTATTAAGAAATCATTATGGACATATTCCACGATCTTCACATTCTTGAATAATTTATATATTTGACAAGACGACTGTTTATTATCGATAACAAACAATGAATCTAATTTATTATCCAAAATTCAAGTTTACATATATCCCAAACCATTATTCAATCAAAATATGACAAAGTTTTATAGTTTCATATTCCAAATTAAACAAATTTTATGATATATTATGTGTAAAATGGTAGTGGACTCTATAACGTAGAGAAAACTTGTGTTAGTTCAAGATTTTTTGAATGAAAAAATTATGATACCTGTATGACCACTTTTGTCTCCGTGGTTAATTGTTTCATGCTTATTTAATTGAGATTGTGGAAGATCAGATTTTCGTCGGACATCTTGTGCACCAGCTTTTCCTTGTATATCTGAATTTCCGAAAGCTCTTGGATTATGAACTGTTCGTATTATTATTGTCACACCAGCGAATTCTTTGAATTCATGTACATATGACTCGTCAGATGCTACATAAGATAAATATAACGAAATATTCGATATAATAATCAAAAGCTTTCAACACGATAAAGCGTCATTAGTATAAACAGTTTTGAAAAACATTTTCCTATAATCTGAATCATAACTTAATTCCAATGTTTCAAGAACTAATGTTTTCTGAAGAAAATAAATTAATGAGAAGAAAAAAAAAAAGAACAAATCAATGCTTAAGATTAAGAAATGAGTAAAAAATCTATATCCATTATGATTACCTTTTTCTTGTGCATCAACATAGAGCGATTTCTCTGCATCAGATTTACGATGTGAATTTGCAATGATTGAAGCATCAAATTTTTTAATAGTAACCATATTTTTATGAATCTCTGACTCGTCATGTGCTCCATTATTTGTTTCGTTGCGTTTAGTCGTAAACCTCTTTTTTTCGAACGATGGAACGTTCGAACTTTTGCCATGACTATTTGAAGACAAAGACATTCTATTTAAGATTGTTTTTTTTTTCACACTGGAACGATCTGAATTGTGACAATCTTCAATTATAATTAAACTACATTTATTCATAACTATATAATAAATATCGTGAACGTTATGTTTTACGTTATAGTAATGAGCTTTAAGATTATTATTAGAAAAAAATGAACGGGAAAAAAAAAGTAAACTTAAGTATGATTTCGCCTGAATTTTGTTGATTCTTTAGAAGGATATATTCTTTGATGTCCTTCCATAGAAAATCTTTTTCTGATGAAATAGTTGGTTAAGTTTTTTTGGTAAAAATAATTAAAAAAAAAAACAAGATGTATTTTTTGCTCATGTAAGCGAATTCAAATTGTCATCACAGATAATTAAAAAACAGAAAAAAAATAAAAAGATATAAAAAGAAACTTTGAGAGTCCTTCATATATTAAGTCGAAGAAATGAATAATAGAAGTATTGTAAAATTTCTTGATACATGCATAATTATCATCATAACAGATATTGTCTTGAATAGATGATAAATCCAGAATAATCACACATCTGGACAGCACTTCTTGTTTTAGACTTTGTTTAAAATTTTCTTGAATTGATTTTGTAACTAAAGAGTTACGAATGTCAATAAATGAGCGAAAGACATTTAAACTAAGTCATGAATAATTGCTATTAGAATGTATTACATAAGGAAGTCTCGTTTTTGAACACAATGGTTTGTTGTAATTATTTAGAAATTGATAAATAACAATCATATAATCACTTTGCTTATACTACTGGAAAAAGTATATGAACGAACACCATAGTCAATTCAGATCAAAGTGTTATATTCATACAATTAACGGTAAATATTCCATTTGAAAATGTTCCTTTGTGAAATCAAGTTTTTCGAAAATTTTGTTTTGTATGATATTGACTGTAGTCACATCAAATCTTATGCTTATCAAAACGACAAGTTCTCAAATACTATCGATATTGAACAAGTTAAGAAAAATCACAAAATGAATGAATTGACTCCAAAAACTACGAATATATTTAAACACTTTCCTTTTGATTTTCTTTTCGTCCTATATAAAAAATCTCTAGGTCAATTTATATTCGGTGAAGTACTAAAGACTAATAGTTTTTTATCTTTTTTAATTTATTATATAAAATTTATATTCTATTTTTTTCCTTTCACATACAGAAAGAATTAATTTTTTTTGTTATTGTTGATTTGTTGACAAAAACATTAATATCATGCAAAACTAGATAAGAAAAATACATTTGCTTCTGAACAATTCATTTAGACTAATGGCATTTCTTCCAATTTCAATAACCATCAATTTCTTATGTATAGAAATCGTAATGTTAGTAAGCAGTTTTCTCAAAGATAACTCATAGACCTTGACTAAAATGTTTTTTTTTTGTTTAACATTGAAATGAAATGAATTTCGATAATAATAGTTCTTCGTTTTTCACGACATAATATTCTAATAAAACTTTTAGAGATAAACAATTTGATGCTTTTAGAATAAACTTTATCAATCTCATTGCCGACATTCATGAACCTGAAGAAAAATAGAGTCACATGAGTAAAATTTAGTCAAATAAAATGCCTTGAAAGAAGAAAACGATGTGAAGAATTTTATTATATATATATATATCTATACAGTAAACTGTACAAATACAAAAACCAAATAATAAATAATGCATGGTGCTAATGCATGAAAATTCATTGCTGAAATATTTTTAATAAGACCATAGTGACATTAATTTTTCTTGTTCTTCTTTGATCTTGCGTTGGGAATGTTTTATCAATCTTGTGATTTTGCCATTGCAGTCGCACCTTTCTTTTCTACAACACAATTAAATATATATAATGATCACCTAGTCTTGCATCCATAACACATAAAAAGTTCTTTGCAAAATTTTTGAAACTAGAATTCATTATCTTCTTTTTATATGATAGAATAATTTTTAATGAATGTTCGAAATAGTTCTTATTATAAAGCTACATTTGGTGACATATACTGCTAACAAATGATTATTTAGATTCTGTCAGAAACATATAACTTTAGAAATTCCACAATAATTGAGAACATTAATTAAAACAAGATAGAAACTATGCAACTGCTAGATCAACGGAAGTTGAGATTCTTTAAGCAGCAAGATCAAATGAACTATATCAAAACATTTCTGTAGTTATAAAATTGTGTAATACATAAGATTACATTCAACTGAGCATTCAATTATAGTACCTGTATTACCATCCTTTTCTCGATCACTTTTCTCGTGTTTAGTTTTGTTTGATTTATTTGTTTGTGATTTTTGACCATCAGATTTCTTAGCTGTACTGTGAGTACCACTTTTTCCATGTGAGTCTGAACGGTCATGTTTTGTTTTTTTTCCGTCTGTGTGTGCTTGTGCTTTAGTATGAGGATGAGAACCATGATTGGCTGGTACTCCACGAGATTTTGACGTTGCATTGGTATGTGCATCTTCAGCTACGATATAGAAAGAATAAATTCAAAGGCCTAGAAACTTCGAAAAACAGAGTATAAGTTGATAGTAAACAGATAAAAATTATTTACGTTATGTATATGAATGATATTTAAGTGAAGAATGCTTTCTTTCTTTTGAAAAGCTGATAAATATAATGTGCTATTTTTTTTAAGAAAAATAAGAAAAAGACAATGTCTATAAAAAGTTTTGAAGATATAACATGCTGTCTATATTGAAAAACTAAGCATATATTACTTCTCATTTTTATAATTGTTACCTGCGCGTGTAGTTTTTGCACGTGTATTAACGCTGGTATGTTTCTTGCCATCTAATTTACTATGTGCACTTGTATGATCAACAGACTTAGATTTTCGAAGAGTATTTTTGTGTCCAGAAATTTCTGTTTTGCCATGTGTTCCATTCTTTGTTTCAGCATGTCCAGACATATGTTTGTTCTTATCAGAATGTGTCTTATTAACATGACCAGCATCAGATGCTTTGCGATGTATGTTAGGTGGTAAAGACATATTTCCTCAATTGCTTTTTCCAATTAAAATGACAATCTATGTTTTTCTTTCTAGTATACCGTTTTTATGAAATAAACGACGTTCGACCGTCACTATTTACAGTCGAGGTAATATTTCTCAATGTCGCACAATACTAATAGTAGATATTGTTTTCCGTCGTAATATAATAAACTGAAAGAAACTATTGAAAGGCAATTGAATACAGAAAAATATTAGAAAAAAGAAAAAAGAAATCGACAATTGTATGGTGTTTCGTGACTTATTAAAATTTATAACAACAGATCCATAAATGTTTTAATATAAAATTACATTCGAAGATAGACTACGAGACATATTTCACGGTCACTAGCATTATTTAACAATCAAATATGTTTAACTATAAATTCAATCATGAAAGATATTTCGAACATAAACTAATGGTTGAAATATTCATTGCGACCTTCAGCGTGAAATATTTACAAGATAGACTTATTCTGATTTAATATAATCGGAAAGAAAACTTAGACATCAGATATTATGAGAACTTAGATTACATTCGAGATGATTTTTACTGAGTTTAGAATGCATTGTATAAATGAAAGCAGCTTGATAATAAACTGGTCAGAATTGTTCGATCGTTTTATATTTAATTACAATATTTTCTATATCATTATGATGAAAACGATTCTGACATGTCTACTTATTCATTGCCAATCTTACTTTATTAATGTTTCTTTATTGTTGCGTAGGTTATTTCCTTAAACATGATAATCATATTTCATTTATTTTATGTTATTATAAATGTTCTTTTCAGCTATTCTATAATATGTAACTAACGAGTAATAGTTATGAAACAAACCATATTAAGATAGAACGTAAAAAAACTGCTTAGTTTTTTCTTTAAATCCTTGATGTAATGATAATACCTGAAGAATCTTTTTATAAGCCTTTATTTTTAAATTACATCACATCTTTTATTCGTCTACTTAAAAAACCATGATAGTAAATGAATAAATTTTCTTAAATTTAACTGTGCCACAATTTATTTGCCAATAGCACCAATAAGATCGTGATACTATATTCTGATCATGCTATGGTCACTATACGGTATGATAGAGATAAAAATAAAATACATGATCGAATCTAAATTGAAATTAGATGAAAAAAGTTATTAAATATAAATCAATGCTTTTTATTATATAAATGAACGAAAATTATGTAAATTTTAGAATGAAAAGAAGATTCGAAATAAAATGAAAGTATTGTTCATATAACTTATTTATTGTTCATTAACTTTTTGTGACCTATCGACCTTTAATTTCAACACATTCATTAAAACGTATGTGACGTTTTTTGCAAATATTCGGTTCACAACATGGTAAGATATTCCATTTACATAAAACACAAAGACGACCATTTCTATCTCTATAATAGGTTGAATTCCAATCGTCACGTCGAATAAATGTTCGTTCTTGTTTAATAAAACTATCATCTTCAGAATCATCATTATCATCCGAAGTAAAAGCACGTAAAAATGTATTGGATCGTTCACGACGTATTTCAATACTCAAGTCTTCATCATCTTCAAGAATGTCATCGTCTTCAGTGTCTTTAGAACCAACCGTTTTCGATACCATCATAGTCAATGTAATACAAATAATAGTCAGATAGAGACGAAAGATATCCATAACTTTTTTCGATGAATGTACACGAAAATATAGGGTATTATATATGTCAACTAACGGTTCGTTTTTATGGTAATTATATATGCATATTGATTATTCATCTAAGCAATCTTGTATGCTTATTTTTTTTTTCGCTTTCTATTCTCACTTCAGATTCAATAAATAGTAATAGTATAGAGAATATTTAGCGTTCGAGCAAAAAGCAATGTCC